ATAATATGTGATTTCTTGTTTCAAGTCCACTTTTATAATTTTTCATTACTGTGAGAATCTCTGGTCTTTAAGAACAGTAATCTCTTAAAGTCACTAATGTCCTGGGCACTAGGTTTATCTTTTAAATTGTTCCTACAAAGTATGTCCTCTGTGGTGCTGAATTTGAATAACAGGTGCTGTCCTTGGACATGGTCACTAAGAAATGTAGTCTGCATCCAAGCAGAGCACCTGCTTTTGCTAGTGTGCAGATATGCTTGTAGCTCTGTTGCCTTAACAGATGTTTTTTGGCAATGCATTATGCTGCCTTTGTGTACTGTATGCATTACTTACAGCATGCATTTGCTAAAACTTAGCTTAAGCAGTTCATTATTGTATGGGTAATAAACAAGAGCGATTGGATGTCTTCCTGTGACCTAACAGGCTTGTTTTGGGTAACTTGCATGACTAGAGTATTGATTCTGGAATGACCAGACTTAATTGAGGAGAAATGGCACTAGGGAAGGGGAGAGGAGTTACTTTATTTGTAGCAAGGTTTTATCTACCTGCTCCAAGAATTATTGGGTGATGAATTTCAGAGTAAAAACTCTGAATTTGCACAGGGTGGAATGAGGGGGAAGTGGGTAGGAATCAGGCAAGAATGGGACTGACCAGCAAGTTGTTAGCTGAATCTGTCCTTGTTATAGGCAACTTCTTAGCAATAAAAAAAAGAACAGGGAGGAGAAAGCATTTAGCTCCAAGTGAACAATGAGAAGGTGAAGGCAGTAATTTTTATGACAAGTTAAACTTCAGCAAGGAGTGAGAAGGGGAAGGGTTAGATAGCACAGTGTAAGGGCGAGTGTGTTGAGTAGCTTGAAAACCAGCATTGAGAATATGAGCCTAAACTGTCTCCACCAAGAATGTACTTAGAAAGCCAGCTTGACTAGCTTTAGCTCTTCCATGACCTGAAAGTCAGCATCTTTTGCAAGAGGATAAACTTCAGCTGAAGACATTCAAATATATGTCACAAAACCCACGTTGATGTGGGCTGTAAGTATGTTTGTGTATGCATTAAAAAGTCACTGGTAAGGGGCACAAAGTGTGGTGAGAGATGTTTCTAGACTCAACAGATATTAGTTACTTTTTCTAAATGGCATCCCACCTGGGGGGGGCAGGGGGAGGAGTACCAGCAGGTGACACTAGAAAGTCTAAAATGTCTAATGCCTCTATTTTACTGCGGATTACAATAAAACTTATTCCGGGGTGGTTATATTGACCAATGATATTCCGAATAAGTGATTATACTGAATATCACTAAGAACTCAACCTAGAACAGAAGACAAGTGTTAAACCTTGATATCTTCAAATAGTCTCAGCCTTTCAAATAGTGCATTAGAGCTCTTTGGCAACAGATCGAAGTCATCTTGAAATTCATAGTAACTGTTGTCAGCTTAGCCCTTTAAAAAAAAAAAAAGAGAGAGAAAACTTGCCATACAGCTTCACAAACTCAAATTTTGGGACACATTTGAAATACTGTAACAAAATATGCATTATCCAAAATGCTGAGAAGTGTCAAGAAAATATTAAGAAAAATAAACCTCCAGGTTAGATTTTTAAGGAAGAAGGGTAAATTCAGATTTATTTTCTTTAGCAAGCTAGTACCATTAGAGAATAAGGGAGCAGAAGTAAGTGATTTGTCATATAAATATTGACTCCCCTAAAGCTTGCTAAAGCAGTAAGGGAAATGGTGATCTAGATGAATTACTGAGGTGTGTACACCCCTCTGTCTGGAAACATGTCCTTAGAAGGCGTAGTAATCTTGTGTAGAAAGGGAAAGGCTTGTATAGGGGTATAATAAGAAACAGATATATTAAGAAGTTTGAAATAGGGCGCTTAGTGGAGATAAACAAACATGCAAACTAATGGGAGATAAACAAACATGCAAATGTAACTGTAAGGAGCTCCTAAAAGTTCAGGAAAAATGATGTGGGGGAGTGGTTCTAGGAAGGAAAGTGGGAGAACAGGGGAGATTTATTCTGGCTGGCATGGTCAGTCATATGTGTATAAATGACAGTGCTGTTTGTTCCTGGGGTTTGCCGTTCAGGATGCAGAAGAATCATTAGTGCTTGTCATCTTTGAAATAAAAACTAGAAAAGCTGAGCTGGCTTACTCTGCTGCAGAGGAGAATGAGGAGACGCATGGTTGCCATCTTTGCAGAAGCTTTTCCCATACTGGAAGGAGATACCCTGAGGTTTCTTATCTAGTCCTCACTGGATAATTGTGTTTAAATGCAGCCAAGGTGACTTTCAGAGTCCTGAGCTACGCAGAGGTGTGTGTAACTGAGCAGTGACATCACTGAGTAACAGCTGTAGAATTTGTTGGAAGAAAAAACCAGGCTATACTGAAGTTTTCAACTCTGTTTTTGTGGCTAAATATTTTTTAGGTAGGGAACAAGTTTCTTGTTTTGCTCTCTTAATTTGACTATTTTCATATCCCTTTCAAGCCCTATTATATTTTGTAGGTGCTTTTAAAATGTTGCAAGTTGTCGTCTCACTGATGTAACAATATAGAACCAAGCTTAATTATACCTCTGCTATTAGGGAAATCTTGGATTCCCTTTGTGTAGTGTCTCGTGTCCCTTAAGTAGGAAGAAGCTGGCAGTGATGGCTGGTACAGTGTTGAGAGCAGGGCAACTTAGGGTAGCAGTCCCTGAGTGAGAAGCCTCTGCCTAATACTTTAGTTTTGGGCCGTTGGAGATGTCATTGGGGTACACTGAAAAGCCACATGAAGGTGAACACAGAGGAGCATGAATGCTATAGAACTACTGGCTTCAAGGGATTTGGCAGAGGTGAGGCAGTAAGGAATCTAAAACTCGCTCTATGTTAGTTTATTTGGGGTTGTGGGGTGACAGAGCTGTCTGTGTGATGGTCGTGAGTCGTAGAGTTGTGATCTTGGGATTGAGCAAGTGAGATGACTAGCCTGGAGGTAGTGGTTTAGTTGCAGTCACGGGCTGCGTAGGGCTGTAATCGAGACCTGGGTTTGGTACTGAGGAAGGGGAATAGTGGAATATTAGAATGACAGGAGGTTTTGTCTCTCCTTCCCCTGCCACAGCTATTGTCACCCTGTTTCTGTTGTATGAGGAAAACAGCTCAACACAGGAGCCAATCTTAAGTCTTCCTATCCTAACAAATAAATCTCTATTGATAATCTTCCTGGACTGCAAAAAAAGGGGTTTCCAGGTTATGGACTGTAAAGTTTGACTTAAGTTTGTTTTGGCTTGGGTAATATGCTCAGACTTCAAATAAGTCAATGCAGTACAGCTGTGTTCAGTCCTTGTTTCTTTCACCCAGCAAAAAAATGCCTTAAAAAAAAAAAGCTGACCAGTGAACACTTAAATGTGAAGATTTTCTGTTAGGCTGTGCTGTTTCAGGTTTAGCCTGTTTGGGTCCATTTTCCTTCAGAGTCATTAACATGACTGTTTGGCATGCAAATTTGATGATGTCAGGGCATAAGCAATGTAGCTGTTTGCCATAAGGAAGCCTATGCCTCTGCTTTAATTCTGAAGTTTGCATCTGAAGCTCTTGCAGCTGCTGAATATGAACTACTTAATTCTAATTTTCTTTTAGTTTATTCGAAGGCCATCTCTGTTCATAACTTGTAGCTCCTTGAAACAGATCTCTTGATGATAGCACTGTATATTACAGCTGAATAAAAAAGCTCTGGAGATGAACATCAAACCAATTCCCCTGAAAGCCCTTGCTGTCTGTCTGTGGCAGTATGACTGGTGCTTTCCTTCCTTAGGCAGTCACAGGGCACCTCTAATCCCATCTCTGAACACTGGTTGAGCCCTATTTACCAGTGAAGGCTTGAGGCCATTAACCTCCTGCAACTCCTATAGGTACAAGACTAACTCAATCGGGAGGCCACACTGGCAGTGTGTTAAGGGGGCAATCAAATTTTGGTGACAGTGTGAGGGGAAGGAAGAAGGTTCATTGGTATGCTGAAGAAATTAGCTTACGGTATTGAGAAGACTCAAAGGATTTGCAAAAGATGCAGGGGATAAGATTGACTTAAGAAGGCGACTTAAACAGTGAACTTAAAGGGTAGGGCAGCATTGAACAGCAGGAAGGGAACAAGCTTGGAGAAGGTGTTCTTCCTTTTCAGCCTTTGAAATTAATAGAGAGGTGGAAGCTCATATGTGCCGTGGTAGATACATCAGAGAGAGAGAAATAAAGACTCGAGAAAAGAGAAACGTGCAAAAAGGTCTGACAAGTAGAGTATTCTTCCCGAGCAGCAGGACAAAATGAGCTCAGCTCTTCTGGGTGCTCAGGCTGTGATACTCTGCAGCTCATCCACTGAGCGGTAACTGGATAACACTATGTTCTCTAAAACCCTGGCTCAGCTCATTTAATGCCTCTTATGGAAAAGGACAGCCCATTTCATTGAAATGCTTCATGGTGTCTCTTCATCTGACCTGTGTTAAGCAAGCTCAGCTCACCAAACTGGCAGAATATTGACAGAACAGGGAAGTCCATCAGGTGTGCACTTTGTGCATCTTGGGATTGCTTTGGGGACAGGAAGACATGAGGGTACCATACTGTTAAACAGCAGTAAGCTGTTAAGCTAGATCTGCTGTTTTGTGAAACCTTTGCCCTCAGCAGAAACCCTACTTTGATACCAGCTAAGTCAATCTTCACTTCCAGTGAATGTCTCATTGATAGTCTATTAATAAGCTGCTATGGAGTTACTTAATAGTTAGGTCTGACTAACTGAAAATAAGTACCCACCAATCTGAAGTAGTAAATGACATGCTGACATAAAGAATGAAAGTGTATTTGTGTGTTTTTCCAGTGAATTCTACTGTAACAGGGTGGTTAACTTGTGCTTCTGCTTTATGTTTAGAAGAGTACCTCACTACGAATTTCCCTATACTGTTATAGGTACTGAGTAGCCTGTTTTTCCACATATGTAATATGAACTCGGAGTGGTAAACACATTTTATCTGTGGAGTAATAGTGCTATACCTTGTGTCAGTTAAAGCATGCATTTTCTGTGGTGAAGTATAACCAGCTGTGAGGGGAGTTTTGTTGTGTACTTGTAGTACTTGAAAAGCTTAGCTAGCTATGGCATGTGATTCTACTACAGCTGTTTCAGACTGGTTTTGTCTTGTATCTGTACTCGATATCACACCCCTCTTCCTCCTCCCCCCTGCCCTGTGAGTGCCTTACTGCATGTGGATAGAGTTGGAGTCATGATGTCTTTCTCTTGTAGCAACTTCTACTTAAAGTTTTGGGTTGAAAGCATATGGGGTAAAAATGCCACTGCTTTTTTGAATACTTGCAAGTTACCTATTTTGTTCTATATGTACAGACAATCTGAAAGTCCATGTGCTGGCCTGCTTCATTTCAGTGCTTGGTGACTGTTAAGTACACAACTTCTGAAGTTCCCAAATTTCTTGAGTCAGTATGCCTGGGGTGTGGTAAATACACACATAGCAGGTTAACCTTCATCTGCATGGAACTTAACCGCACACTTACCTGTGTTGTGTTCCCGGGTCAAATACAGTATGATGTTTGAACGGCCAGACTGGTGGCTACATCAGTGAAAACTTTTCAGATAATTTTTCCTTTCTGTTAAATATTTAGTTAGCAGCTGTGTACTTATTTCATCCCCCAGTACCACAGCTCAGCATTCCTGGAATGTTTTCAGATGAAGGAAATAGACAGGAGCCAGTTTGATAGGTACTGTGCTCAAAAACATTGCATATTTAAATGTTTTATTTCTGCTTAGTGGCCAGAAGAGGGAGCAGTGATCTAACGCACTCATGTTTTCAAAACTATTTACATCTGTTCTAGTAATAGTATGTCTAAACTGAACGTTAGGGGGTTCTAATTTTATTTATTGTAGAGACCAGATGGACTGAAATGTAAAACTGGCCCTATAAGATTTTTAACATTTGACACTTAAATTACCAGTCTTCTGGTTTGGAAGCTGTTAAGAGGGTATTTTGGCCTGATAGTAAGCATCCTCATAATTGGAGAAAGTTGTATTGCATGGGGAGGGTTGCGTGTTTAAGATCTACCTGGTTCTGCGGTGGGATGTGTCGTCAGAACAATAGCTTCATAACCTAGAGCAAAAATCAGTTGGGTCAGTCTCAGTGGTGCAAACGCTTCTAAATTAAAAACTTGAACTTCTCTTCCAAAGCTGTGAAAGATATGCTCGGTGACTTACCTCGAGGCAGACTTCATGACAGTGAAGAGGGCTTGAAGGGATGTAGTTCATTTAGGAACACAAATAATACTTACGACACAGCTCAACACTGGCGGTGCTTGAATCCTGGAGGGGAGCATGATTTTGAGTTAAGGCAGTTACTCTTAAACTATACAGATGTAAACAAAACTGACTAAAAATTATGAAGATGATTAAGTTTATGCTGCACAGATTTACCTGGGCGCAGGGGAAGACAGATGCAACCACCACTGGCTTCTCCCAATGAGATTTGTTTTTCTCTCTCCATCTGAAACTAAAGCATCCTTTTTGTTTCAATTGTTTTGAACCTCAGTGTGTGGAAACAAACTTGTGTCCCATAATGTGGTATCTGTTTAGCATGAGAGACTTACAAGCTCTTCTATAACTGTAGTGCATAGGTTACGAAAATGTGTCTAGGTAACAACTTGAAGTTCAGTATTACTTAAAACAAAATAATGTATACAAGTAAATATCTGAACTGTTCTTTTAGTGGTGTAGCAGTTCAGTGTAAGGTGACTAAAAGCTGATGTGGGGTTATTGTGGTTCTTAGGTAGAAGTTATACTTCTACATAAGTCTTCCCTGTACACAGAAGTTTCATTTCTTTGTAGAACTGCTGTGTATTTAGAGACTGATTTACTCTCTATTCTTTACGTATTACATAGGTCTAAGAAAATCTACTAAGAAGCGCAGTGAATCACCACCTGCTGAGCTCCCCAGTTTGCGGCGGAGCACACGGCAAAAGACCACGGGCTCCTGTGCTAGCACCAGGTAAAACTTAAGATGGAACGTGACTGCTGCTGTGGGTTGATATTAATGTCACTTTATTGCATGATGCTGGACTTGACTACGCTGTCTTTGGTATTGTAGAAGTAGGTGTAGCTTTTCAGGCCTGCTGGGTTACTCTACACCAGTGCCATGTAGAGTGCATAGAATTTGTCACCATCAGACCTTCAGTAAGTCCCTCAGCTGTGGTGGTGGAGGGAAAGAAGTACCCAAAGCCAAGCCCATATTACAAACACAAGTAATCCTTTCCAAGGCTAGTTGTGTTTAACAAGATACAAAACACTAAAAGAGAGTGCTTAAACTGTTGTCCATCACGAATATAAAATAGATTACCGTTTTGAGAAATAAGACTTCATGGTACTCAGCTTGTCAGCAGCTGCATCTGAACAATACTACAAATATCAAATATGTAAGGACTTAATATACCTTCTGATGCAAGCAAGAGAAAATTTAGTCCTGAATGAATAATTTTAAACAAGGAGTAGATTAAATGAGGAAAAGCAAAAATCATTAGTTGCATATATTCTGAAGATACTTACAAACCCTTAATGAGATTTCCCCCCCCCCCTTTGTGCCTAAACTGCATTTAGTAGTTCCAGTACAACCTCTTTTCCTTCTTCCATGCCATGAAGAATAAATGCATCTGAAGTCTGGTTCTGTTGTCAAGTGTGCATTTGAATTTGACTGTTTAATTTGTAGGCATTTATATGTGTAGTGGTTGTGACAGTAGTGTGTAAAAAAGCCAGTTTAAAAAGGCACATGCCCTCCAACATCTTTCTGGCTTTGAAAACCAAGTTGAACATCAGAGTTCTCTTTGCTTTCAGTAGTCCAGAACTTCCTTTAGATAGTGTCATTGAAATTCTCACGTGTGTACATGATTTGTAAATAAGTCACTTCAATCTTGCTTATTTTGACTATTATATTTTAGTAGACTGCTTTGTCTTGAAGGGTATAATGTGAGGACCTAGCTGTAATGCATGAGTATAAATAAATCACCACCATGGTACAGGGCAGGGAGGGTGAAGAAGAGCTGGATCATTTTGTGAACACGTTCTTACACAAATCTCTCTACACTTATGTAGATCACTACCACAGTGTTGCACAAATTATGTGGTTTTGAGTAGTCCCAGATTAATAAATCTGTCTTAGTTCATAAGGTCTGAAACTGTTTTTTGAATCTTTAGTCGGCGAGGCTCTGGCCTGGGCAAAAGAGGAGCAGCTGATTCTCGCCGACAGGAGAAGATGGCTGATCCTGACAACAACCAGGATGGAGTTAACTCGTCAGCTGCGCGTACAGATGAGGCTCCCCAGGGAGCTGCAGGTAAGAAGAAATTCTAACTGAAGCATTTTTAGTGTAGTTGCTGGTATAAACTTCTTTGCATTTAAAAATAATTAAATGGATTAAATTCTGGGAGGAAATTAATATTAAAGATTGGTACATCTGGTAAATAATTCTGGGAGGTTTTTGAGTGAGAAGGGTTTTTGAGTTGTTTTTGAAACTTTTGTTGGATATTGGATATGCTTCAGTTTATGCTTTGTGTGGTCTCCAAACTATGTCAAAGCAGACAAGTTTTCAGGCACCTACCTTGTTTTTCTGAAAATATAACTCCAGCTGATGCTACATAAACTGCTGCCAACAGAAGAGACACCGTACTGTTTGGGACTGTACAGAAGGCATTCGTTTATCTGTAAAAGCTATTCTGTAACTCCTGATAAGTATTCTGCAAGCTTTTTGGTTGAAATGGCAAGCGTGTCTGTACTGGAGATATTTGTTAACAAGTAAGGATTTCTTTACTTGCGCAGTCCCATTACAGTACTTAATTCTGTCATCTTGGCCTAATCAGTAGTGAGTTCAAACAGAGCTTTCCAGTGATTATGGCGGACTGCAGAAAATCTCAAGTGTTCTTTGCTTAAAGCTAGCTACATCAGTGCAAAAAAAAGTAAAAATTAAACTAAGTGCAGCATAACACTCAGTTACTTATGATAGAGGTAAATCTGGCTGAAAGGTAATTTGCTGATCTAGCTGTATTTCCCTCAACCCTCCCCCTCAATTATCTTGTGTTGATAGAGCCTCTTGTTGCTTTTGGCAAGTATTGGACGGGTAGACCAGTCTATTTAAAATGACAATTGTTCAGAAGTATGATGGTGGCAGTGTTAAATGCAGAGCACTCTTCTGACGGTTGACACTTGATGGTGGAATTGACGTGAATTTTGTAGCTTTAAAGGCACTTCAACTTGCATTAATATCTATTTTATTTCTTTAGCTTCTAGTTCTGTTGCTGGGGCTGTAGGTATGACAACCTCTGGAGAAAGTGAGTCAGATGATTCTGAGATGGGAAGACTACAAGGTATAAAAGTCGCTATTAATTTACCATGTGTTTTTTGTTTGCAGCCTATGCAGAGCCATACTACCCAAATTCTGTATTATATGTAGTAGGAAGGTTGTATTTCGTTTCTCTGTGAATGTGTTGCTATGCTTACTGTAGTTCTGAAGCACAGAGTTACAAGCTTTAATTCACTAAAGACACAAGAATTTAGGAGGAGGGGGTGAATTTGGTCTGGAGGGGGTGACGTAGTGTCCTGACTCATTTACGTGGCGTATAATACACGACCGTTGATGTTTTTTTCGTGAGGAAGTGAGGGGAGAGAATGGAAAACTCAGTCCTATGAAGTGTTTAAGCTCAAATATGAAGCTAAGTCTTTGCAAGAATGTTTTCAGCTGACAGGCTGTGTTAGGCCTGCCATTACTCTGCCTGCTTCTGGATAATGTTTTTGTTGTGCTTCTCATTGATACCTATGTTACTGAAAGCCTTGACCAAACAAAATCTAAATGTTCATAAATGCTCTTATGTTCTTAAAATGCTTGCTTTCATGCTTGGGCTAAAGGATTAGGGTCTCAAAACCTGAGAGTACAGACAGGTAGAAACTTGTTTTGCATGTCCTGCAACTAGTGTAATGATTTTGCCACTACATCGCAAGGATTATCTCCCTTGCAAATGAAAGGTTTTGGTTAATCTGGATATTTTACTGTGGAAATGAGTGCTGTGTCACTATTGCTTATAGTCCTTAGTAAGAATAGATAGGCATTGGGAATATTGAGCTACATTGGTTTTTACTATTAATTGTTATTGCATTGATCAGCAGTAGTCATGCTTGCTACAATAAAAATCAATCACCCACTTTATCTTAAGTAAGACAACTGAAAAGTGTTCAAAACAAAACCAAAAATCCCCTAATATCTAGCAGAGTTCTTCGCCCTCATCAACAAATAAAGCTGTGAACCTGGTTTTTCAGTATCATTTTTTCGAGAGTAATAATGCCACTCAGTACTTGAAAATGTGAAGCTTAGCTTAACCTGTTTTATGTAGTTTGAGTTCATATATATATCCAGTTACAGTCCATTATATTTGCTATTCTGAATCTAGACTTCCAAGGATTTGGTGGACCAGATTTATTCTGTGAAATACATAACTCTGGTAACTCAGTGTGACTTCTCAAAGGGCCTTAATGTAGTGATGCATACAGAAATGAGTTATTTGTTCCCTAAAGGTCATCTTTTTGGTGTTTTTTTTTTTTTTGGAAATTGAGGTAGCTGCAGTCATCTAATCCTAACTCTGCTTTCTTAAAGTATCAGAATTCTAGTAGTCTTAAATTATAGCATCATGGAATTTAAACTTTTAAAATATATGTAGAAGCTTTGACAATGGCTGTTATCCTCTGTTTGCTTTTAGCTCTATTAGAGGCTAGGGGTCTTCCTCCTCACCTGTTTGGCCCTCTTGGTCCTCGGATGTCGCAGCTCTTCCACAGGACAATTGGAAGTGGAGCTAGTAAGCAAAGTTTGTCTAATTTGACTTCTTTCCACTTCCAGACTAGCAGAATTCAGCCTCTAGTAAATTCTAATATTTGTATTAGCTTCATAACTTAATATAATACTTGTTGGAGATTTGTATGTCATGATAGTGGTAGACTACTGGTCAACAATATTAATTTGCTTGCCTGCTTTATAGGAAGAGAAATTTGCCTTAGCTGTATTTCTTTTCTTTTCTTTTTTGGGGCATCTTAATTGTTCCCTTCTAGGTGGGGAAGGGAGGGTTCTTGACTTTTCACTCATTCCTTAGCTTTTTCTTTTGCATGATGGCCTGCTTAACAAAAGACCTCTCCAACCCCTTGGGTTTTTTGCTAGCTTTAAACAAATGCTTAAGCTAGCTTTGATTCTATTAGGAGATGTCAGTTCTAAGGTATGTTATTTGTAGTTTCAAGGGTGTCTTAGGTTTCAGACAGAAATCATTTCCTTCAGGTGGTGTGTCAGTGAGAACATGGGTCCTTAATCTTTTTCCACTGTCTGCATTATGCAGCTGGGTGAGATGTGTGCCTTCCAGTCCAAGTCTTCCCAGAGGAGCCAAAGGCAGCCTGTTACGCTGCCTGCCAAGAAGAGGATGGGGTCTCAGGGATACTCCATGTGCTGTATTCTCCAGGGGGTGTGTTGAAAAGTCTTTTGCTTTATAAAGGTGGAGTGGTGTGCGTTCTGGCACCTGCTGTAGGTTGGCAAGATGGCTGTGGTGAGCAGTGTGGTGGACTCCCTGTGCTGACCAGTCTCCACTGGAAAGACAGCAGAGAGTGAGATTTCTGCCTCCCTTTCCTATCCCCCCCTCTTTATGACAGGGAAAGGAAGTGAAACTACAAATACAGAGGAAAACAGAAACTATCTCTGGTCTTCCACTCTGGCAGACGTATAGCATAACAGTTTCCTTGAACACTTAATGTCGTCTAATATCTTCTTTCCTAATCTTTTTTCTGGATATCTAGGTTCTAAAGCCCAACAGCTTTTACAAGGTCTGCAAGCCACTGATGAAAGTCAGCAACTACAGTCAGTGATTGAGATGTGCCAGCTGTTGGTCATGGGAAATGAAGAAACATTAGGAGGATTTCCAGTCAAGAGTGTTGTACCAGCTTTGGTAAAGATTAAATCTCCTGTTTCTATTGGAGGATATAATATTTCAATCAGTATCTTGCTTAAGTAAAATATTCTTAATTTATATTGTCTTCTTAATTATATGCATGCCTGTGTATCTGTATATCTCATTATTTGGTTTTGAGGGCATGTTTTGCTCAATTTTGATAGTTCTATTAAGTCTTTATTAGTTCAAGAATAGGTAGTGGCTCTCTGGAAACCTTTACCAAAATTCAAGGTCCTGAATCAAAAGCTACAATACTGACTTCTGCCCTTTATTTATATTGTTATCTAGATACTTTTTACTAAATTAACAGTACTTTTTTTATTTTTCAAAAAACAGATAACACTGCTGCAGATGGAGCACAACTTTGACATTGTAAGTGGTTTGTAATGTTTAAGATGTTTTTTGACACAGAAAAATATATTGCCTGACCTTAAAACTGAACATGTATTTATTTTATAGATGAACCATGCATGTCGGGCCTTAACATACATGATGGAAGCACTTCCTAGATCATCTGCTGTAGTGGTAGATGCAATTCCTGTTTTCTTGGAAAAGGTAAAATGAAATCAAGAGTGTTACAATAATCTGAGGGGATTTAATATTTTGATTTTAGGATATACATTAAGGTAATGGCTTCTTTTCATTGATTACAAGATACTATATAATGCATGAGAAACTTTTAAAAGCAGACTTATTCTTTGCTCACACCTTTACTGAAAAACTCTGATTCACTGAGAACTTTAATTGCTGTTGCAAAGATACTGCATAATTATAGAAACTGGTAACTCTTGGAGTAGCTGTATAACTGATCTAGCCTTAAATTGACTAGTTTGAGTACAGCTAGCAGTGCAGCTGCATTAAGGGGGTTGTGTGTTAGTACAGGCTAACTGTCCAAATGTTAATGACGGTGATTATTTTTGCAAGCTAGTTTAGGAATTAATGAACTTTCTTGTTTTCTTGTAGCTGCAAGTTATTCAGTGCATTGATGTGGCAGAGCAGGCGCTTACAGCCTTGGAGATGTTATCACGCAGACATAGTAAAGCCATTCTGCAGGCAGTAAGTAAAGAAGAAAGCACTTTTACCTCTCCCAGTTCTACATCTTGGTGATCTGTGAAGATGAAATAAGAAAACAGATCTCTGACCTTAGCAGTATTGAGAGTGAAAATGTTTGTTTTATTATAGGGTGGGTTGGCAGACTGTTTGCTGTATCTGGAATTCTTCAGTATAAATGCACAGAGGAATGCACTAGCTATTGCTGCCAACTGCTGCCAGAGTATAACACCTGATGAGTTTCACTTTGTGGCAGACTCCTTGCCACTGCTTACACAAAGGTTAACCCATCAGGTAAGAAGCTATTATAAAATTGCTATTGACCTGAATGTAATATAAAGTTGTGTCCAGATATCTTGTTCTTTACCATGTATTACTTGCCTTTGCAATGTGATAATTGTCTTAAAGTTTCCATGCTGTCAGGTTGTTATAATGTGCATATGGACCTTGTGATTTTTGTGCTCTAAGGACTCATGACATCCCTATTAATTTTGTAAAATGAGATAAAAAAGATAGAGCATGAACAATAAGGCATTTGTAGTCCTTACCTGTTGCTCATCGGTAAGAGGGAATTCAGTAACATTATTGTTCTTTTTCTTAGCAACGAGTTGCAAGGTTCCCTCCCACTTCAGACTTAGAAAAGCTTCAGTTTCAATTTTTGTGGCTGCTTTTTTCTGATTTGACTTTTTGGGAGGGCTTATGGCTTTTGAAAAAGGAAGTTCCTACTCTCACACAATGGCTTGGTTTGAATCCTAAATGATGGGGCTCCTAAGATCTGCCTGCCCTGCAATGGTGCTGTGTTCACAAATGAGTATTCTCAATGACTGTGGAACCAAAAGACACTTGGACATACTGCTTGGTTGGCAGATCCCCATTAAAAAGGTGGAGAAGGAGAAACTATTTTGTTCCTTAACAAATGCAACTAAATGGAAACTTCCAGGTAGTGTTTTTGTGTATTTCTGTGCTATTCTTAATTTTGCCAATATCTTCTTGCTGAGAGACTACTTGAATCTTTGAGGCAGCTTCACAGAAGTCAAATGTCAGCTTTAGGTGGTGCTTTGGAAACAGGAAGCACCATTGTCATCAGTAGTAGGGACAAGTACTGACTCCTGCTCTCTGAAGAGAAACTACAGCCCACAAAAGTTTCAAGAAAGATTTCAAGAAATTTTAAGTGGAATTTCTCTGGGGAAAAAAACCCAAACAAACCAAACCTTAAGTTAGCTCTATAGTTGAGGTCAGAAGGGATGTCTCATTTATCTAGTCCTAACCCCCTGCTTAAAAGAGGCCAACTGGAGCAGGTTGCCCAGACCATGTCCAGCTGTTTTTTTTTTGTTTTCTTTTTGGTTTCGTTTCTTTTTTCTTTCTGAAAAAAAAAAAAAAAAGAAAAAAAAGAAAAAGACCACCCAACTTTCCAAGGATGGAGGCTTAGACTGTCTGGGCAACCTCCTCCAGTGTTCAACCACCCTTCCAGTAAAAGTGTTTTATGTTCAGACAAATTTCTTCAGTCAGACGTTCATTGAAATACTCAGCTATTTTTAGGTCAGCCTTTACTGTCTCGGTGTCTTTGCGTTTGCTGTCTTGGCTGCACTGCATGATACAAAAATAAGGTTTCATGTAGTCTGTAGAACAGTTGCCTTCACTCCTGCCTGTTACCTATATTTCCTATTGTTTGCCTTTGTAGTTCTCTTCCCTTTGGTTTTCCCCTTGTGGGATCCAAACAGGGTATTATAGACCCATTTATTCATCTGTAAAGGTCCCTAAAAGTGATGGTGTTGCAAATGTGAGGCGTTTCCCAGGGAACGTGCCACATCAGGAGGGTAGTTTAGGCTGCATTCATAAATTTAAAATTTGAAGCTGTAATATTCTGTAAAATTAGAGTGGTGTTTTTGGAGAAATTTTGAGTATCATGACATTTTGAAGCAGTCGAATGCCAAGTTCAAATATTTTAATTCAAAACCCCCCACTTTTTTTTATAATAGGACAAAAAGTCTGTTGAAAGCACTTGTCTTTGTTTTGCACGGCTGGTGGATAACTTCCAGCATGAGGAGGTAAGGGTGTGTTTTTTGGGGATGTGGATTTTTGTTTCCTTCTTCCCTCCCTCCATTTCTCCTAAGGGCTTATATTTTTAAGTCATTCTAACGTTTCTAACATTTGCTGTTCCCTCCTGAAGAACTTGCTCCAGCAGGTAGCTTCCAAGGACTTGTTAACAAATATCCAGCAACTCCTGGTAGTGACACCTCCTATCCTGAGCTCAGGAATGTTCATCATGGTGGTGCGCATGTTTTCCTTGATGTGCTCCAACTGTCCGACGCTTGCAGTCCAACTTATGAAGCAAAGTGAGTTCTGGCTCTCTTCATATTCTGGGGAACCTACTTAAGTTAATGCCTACAGTCTATATGGAACTCTGTATGTGCACTTAATTATGCAATTACTGTGTTATCTTATTTTTCCCCTCTCTTACTATGCTTCCCCTGAGATACAAAGTTTAGCTGATCTTGTTGAAAGTTGTTGGTGGTGGGTTTTTTTCCCTGAGGGTGTTTTCTCCCTTTCCTGTCTCTAGCTGTTGTCACTGGAGTTTTTACCTAATTTTGAGTTTGTATTAGATGCACAAGTTACTCTAATTTCAACACAAGCTGAATAATTCTTTTTGTAGTCTTTACCGGGTGGGGGAAACCTAATTTAAGGGCTTTTTGTAACGGAAAACAGTAACTGCTGTGTAGCTGTCTTCGTTCTGACTTGTTTTCTTTTCATCTTGTGAATTTTGAATTGTCACCTCAACTGCCCTGTATACTGGGTGAAATTTCCCCCTTAATGTCCCTTTAAGGCAAAAAAACCCACAAACCACCACACACACCAAAAAAAAAAAAAATCCCACAAACACATTTCTTATATCTTTTGAAGAAGTGGCTTATGTCTTACTCTCTGTCTGTTTGCTTGGGGAAGTGATTCTCTTCTGCCTAGTGTCTAACATGGAATGGAGCCCATATTCTGATGTAAGCAGTCTCATAAATAATAATTTTTATAGATATTGCAGAAACTCTTCACTTTCTCCTTTGTGGAGCCTCAAATGGGAGTTGTCAAGAACAAATCGAACTTGTTCCACGAAGTCCTCAAGAACTTTATGAGCTTACTTCTCTTATCTGGTAAGTTACACAGCCCTAGGTTTTTGGGTCTGGATGGTATATTGAAATCCATAACTTCTCTAAAAGGGAGGCAAACAGTTTTCAGCTTAGATGGACTTTATTGTGTACTCTGTTTTAATGTTCTTTGCAGTGAACTGATGCCTTGCCTGCCGAAAGAGGGGATCTTTGCTGTTGATACTATGCTGAAGAAAGGAAACGCACAAAATACAGATGGTGCAATATGGCAGTGGCGAGATGACAGGGGTCTCTGGCATCCCTATAACAGGATTGATAGTCGAATAATAGAGGTACTAAGTACACACAGTTGTGTGGTAATGTTTTTTACATATGTGTGCATTTGCAGGGGGAACCGAGTGATTTCTTTACAGTTTTGAAAATATCAGTGCCTTCTTTCAGTAAGAAACACATGAGTTTCCTCAAACCTCCTGCTGTAGTACTGTTTTGGTATTCAGTAACAGGTGAAGTGCTTGATCACTGTTCTTGCTGTATTTCCGTCAGTCATGGTTTTTCCTACTGTGTTGCCCCTCTCATCACCTTTCATCTAGCTTCCTATTTGTTAGGGATTTCTTAACTTTGAAATTTTTTCTTGGTTTTAGACAGCTCATCAGGTTGCTGAGGATGAGATAAGCCTGTCAACGCTTGGGCGTGTCTATACTATTGATTTTAACTCTATGCAGCAAATAAATGAGGATACTGGAACAGCACGTGCCATTCAGCGAAAACCAAACCCTTTAGCCAATACAAACACTAGTAAGTACAGGGTAGGATACAGATGGTGTCTCTAGCTATGGCTAATTTATGCTGGTTACACAACAGTCTGCTACTTACCTAGTAAGTTTCTTGCGGTTTCTGTGGAACACAGAAATGATTCTGGTTTACATGGATGAAGAAAGCTTTTACAACAAAACTCCAACTGTTGAAATGTGTTCTTTTTAACACGTGAGCTCTTTTTTTTAACATGTGAGCGCTTTCCCTGGGATCTGAAAATGCGTTAAATTAAGGGGGAAACAGGGGATGTTCCTGGCTTGGGATTTTCCCAAACAAGAGGTTCATACACCTTTTATTTAACAAAGTTTGTGCAAGGACCTCTTACTGTTGTACAAAAACATATAAGAAAACTGAAGAAAAAGGTTTTGACAACTTGAAAGAGGAGGATTTATACCTACATTCCTGTCATCAGCTTGACTTCTTAGATATTCAGTTAAAGAGCGTAACTAATTCAGCTTGGGAAAAAAAAAAGTATTTGTCAGAGCAGAGGTGCAAAGAACTATGCAGTGATTTGTTGCACGACTTCTTGCAGGTGGACATTCAGATTTGAAGAAGGATGATGCTCGAGCACAACTAATGAAAGAGGACCCAGAACTGGCAAAGTCCTTTATCAAAACATTGTTTGGTGTTCTTTATGAAGTATATAGCTCTTCAGCTGGACCTGCTGTTAGACACAAGTGCCTTAGAGCAATTCTTAGGATAATTTATTTTGCTGATGCTGAACTTCTGAAAGATGTGCTGAAAAACCATGCTGTTTCAAGGTGGGTGTGTTAACTTGTGTGGATTAAGCTAGTTTTGAACTTACAATTCAACTAGTTTTTGACCAGTTTTTCAAAGGCAGTACAAAGTTCCACAACATCATGTTATGTAAAGACAGTTTTCTTTTCCTTTATGCCTATGTTAAAACTTGGTAAAAGTGATCTAGGTGGGAAGACGAATTTTCCGGTCCTTTTATGTAGTTTTTACAAAAGCACAATGAAATTTGTCTGCTTTCAGTCTTCAGGATGATGTATGCAACACGAACTGGCTTGATGTTCTTAATTTTTTTTAAAAAACAAGAAGAAATGAAAACACAAACCTAATTCTAATAACTTATCTGTTTTAGTCATATTGCCTCCATGTTGTCGAGTCAAGACCTTAAGATAGTAGTTGGAGCCCTGCAGATGGCAGAGATATTAATGCAAAAGTTACCTGATATTTTTAGTGTTTACTTCAGAAGAGAAGGTAATTCTTTCTTTTCTTTTTCCTCTTCACCTCCTTATTTAGTATTTTAAAAGTCTGTGTGTGGAGAATTCATATCCTATTCCCCTCCCCCCCCAACTTAATACTGTTCTTGAATAATAAGGGCAAATCCATGCAAGCTATTGTTGTATGACTGGGGAGGAGCTGAACAGGACTCTGGAGGAGACTAGCTTGTTTTTTCTGAATCTGAAGCAAGTTTGTGCAGGATTACTAGATGCTAGTGAATTTATGCTGAAGGTGGTGTGCTAAAATTACATGGGTAGTCTTACTGGACAAAGCTGAAGAATCTTTGGCAGGAACTCTGTTAAAATCTACTGGGGATTTGGGGGTTTCTTTAGCTATTTTTTGGGCGGCTCTTTTTTTTTTTTAAACTATGTAGATTAACTTATTCAGGAAAGGGTGGAACTGCTTTTTAAAGCTTAGTATTGATGGGTGGGGTGAGCCAGTGCTGCCATAGTTAGACCAGAAGTTCTAGTAACAGACTTCTATCTTTTCAAACACCTTTGTCCCTTCTTCCACAACCAAACCAACCCACCAACAAAGATGTTTTTCTTTTGCAAAGGGGTGATGCACCAAGTGAAAAACTTAGCGGAGTCTGAGGCATTGCTAACAAGTCCACCAAAAGTATGCACTAATGGATCAGGCACTCTGGGTACCACAACAACAATAAGTACTGGATCAGCCACTGCTGCCAGTAATGCAGCTGCTGATTTGGGCTCTCCCAGCTTACAACACAGCCGGGAGGATTCTTTGGATCTGAGCCCACAGGGGTAAGTACGCTATCTGTTGTGAACAGTCGGTGAGGGTTTTTGTGTGGTGTGTTGAGTGTTTTGGGCTTTTTTGGGGTCTGTGGTGGTGTGTGGGGTTTTTTTTAAAGACTTGTCTGACGTGGGCTGCTACAGTATCGTCTGTACTTTGCTGTGCTGTGATATTTTCCCCTAAGGAACTAAAATGGATTGGTGTTGAAGCTATCAGTAGGTAGTTTTTACTATTTTATATGGTATGTTTAAAAAAAAAAAAAAGTCTAGTGACATGATAGTTACAATGGAGTGATATGCAACACTTCATGCTGTTTGAGAGGCTGGAGAATGCCAGGAGAAACAGCTGTAGTTTCATGTAACACCAGAGGACAGAGGGATTCTTTCAGAACAATGATAGCTGTGGTGCACGGTTCCTTTCTGCTGGGGACCGGAGATAAAAAAAGTAATCTTTAAGTTATTTTGTTGGAATGTAACCATTTTGAACACTTGCAGAATTAATATCTCTTGTAGGAATAAATTTTCAGTGTTACACAGTTTGCCTTTAAAATAAAGCTGAGATGTTTGTCGTAATGTATTGGCATAATGAGGAAATTCACCTTTAAACCAGAATTGAAATGTTTAAGGCTTGGTGAGTAGAAACTCCATACACTGAAAAAATGCTTTCTGGGCTTTAATAGTAGAGAAGCCAGCTCAAAGTCTCAGTGTCTTTTGGTGTTTATTCAGTAGACAGTAGTGGACTTTTTTCCCCTTCTCAGTATATTCATATAAACAAATAACCAGTTGGTTACACAGATAAAAACATGAAAACCAGGAGAAACCTTTATTCAGTGGCAGTTCTGGCTGTATGATGCTGCCACAGTAGAAAGGTGACAGCAAGCAAACTCCCTTCTCTCTGGATGGAGTAGTCACTCTGTCCTTCTGCTTAAAATAGACTTGAGGCCTCTTCTCCCACAGCTCGTTCTTCCCTTGTGCTCTCCTTGTTATGGGATTGAACTTTTTTTAATTCTTGTGGAAATAAGTGGCATATGTATCAAACTGAGGGATGGATATGCATATGAATGTGGGGGATGGAAATGTTACTTTATTTTTAAATTTGGACAGACGACTGAGCGACGTTCTAAAGAGAAAGAGACTGCCAAAACGAGGGCCAAGGAGACCGAAATATTCTCCTCCAAGAGATGATGACAAAGTAGACAATCAAGGTAAATAATATAAAATGTGATAGTCTCTATCCTTTTAAATTTAAAAGTAAGCTTAGAGGCTGTCAAAAGGGCTAGCTGTAATAAACCTGTTGATTCTCTTCGTTTTGTCTTTGCATCCCGCAGCTAAAAGCCCTACGACTACTCAATCTCCTAAATCTTCCTTCCTGGCAAGTTTAAATCCTAAAACATGGGGAAGATTAAGCACACAGTCCAACAGTAACAATATTGAACCAGCACGAACAGCAGGAGTCAGTGGTCTTGCAAGGGCTGCTTCCAAGGATACCATTTCCAATAACAGGTACACAAAATATCTAAATAGTTCAAATATGGGGTTGACTTTGAGGTGCAGCTACTTTTTATTCTGATAAGCTGTCAGGTGATTGAGTAGCACCTGTCAAAGGACTTTGAGCCTAACCACTGCTAAAACAATTCTGGAAGAAGAATCAGAAATTAAGGTAGAGGAAACAACCTCTTGATAGTTTAAAGTAGCATGCTGGGGGAAAAGTGGAGTATTGGGGAAAAATGGTGCAAGAAGTACTCTGTGGAGAACAGACCTTGATGTGTTGGACTGAGAGGGAGGGAAGGGTTTTTGTCTGTGAATACTCTTATCCATGGGGAAAATGATACACTGGCTGTGTTTACTTGTAACACTGGAATATGCTAAGTGTGGCTGAATCCCTTTTATGTGCTTCTTTACAGAGAAAAAATTAAGGGCTGGATTAAGGAGCAAGCCCATAAATTTGTAGAACATTATTTTAGTTCTGAAAACATGGATGGAAGCAATCCTGCACTAAATGTATTACAGAGACTTTGCACTGCAACTGAACAACTCAACCTCCAGGTTAGAAATGGCAAACATAATTGGAGTGGGGGTGGGAATGGAAGCAGTAGAAGTATTTAGGAGGAAGCTAGAGGAAAGATGACCATTTTAGTGTGGCAGGTATTTTAAGCACAGTTTTTTATCTTAAATGATGATACAGTACTGCTTCACTTGCAGTGGTTTGCTTTGGATATTTTTTAGAGTTAGCATATAAGCTCTGACACATACCATTTTACGATAATAACTAGTATCAACAAGGGTTTTTCCTGATTCCTAGCAATGTGTCACACAGCATTTTATTTCAAATTTAAAAATTCTGCAGTTAAATGTTAGGGTTTGACTTCATACCTAAAGGAGGACACAGTTTGTAATAAGAATTTAGGGGCGAGGGGAGTATAAGAGGGAAGTAGCATTTTGTTGAAAGGATAGGAGAAATACGGAGTGGGCCAAGTCTACTATCATCTCAAGAACCTGAGCCTTGCTTCTCAGACAGTTGTGAACCTTTGATATGTGGTCTAAACCTGTAACTTCTAAAGTAGCTGGACAGCTGACTTGTTCTGTGCATTGATATAAGGAAACATTAAAATATGAAGCTTTCCCTCCTCCTCTCACCCATGCAGATGTCATGTAAAATATATACCAGTCTGAGTTTGGTTGTGTTTGGTTTTTTAACTTCTGTTTGGAGGTCATCTTTACGTTGCATGAGATAAAAATAGGACCTCACATTTCTATTTAAAACAGAGAAAATGTAGAAGTTGCCTGAAATATCTCCTTTCGAACAGAGAAACTGCTTATCCTCAGATTATTTGCCCTGTCATTGCTTGTATTGTGTTACTATCTACTCCAAACCTCCCCTTTTGTCCCCCCTCTCTTTCGAGCTGTTCCATGCAGGAGGGGGAAACCCAGTATTTCTTAAGCATGTGATAGCTGGGTAGTAAAATACTGCCTTCATATTTTTCAGGTGGATGGTGGAACAGAGTGCCTTGTAGAAATCCGTAGCATTGTCTCGGAATCTGACGTCTCCTCATTTGAAATCCAGCATAGTGGGTTTGTTAAACAACTGCTGCTTTATTTGACATCTAAAAGTGAGAAAGATGCTGTAAGCAGGGACATCAGATTGAAAAGATTTCTTCATGTATTTTTTTCTTCTCCAGTAAGTTTTCTTATTTCTTGTCATTCTTAGTTGTTTTTTTTTTTTCTCAAACTGTACTCGCCTGACCATCTGAGAGGTTCAGCAATGACCTTAAAGATGGAGTATGGAAGGAACATTTGGTTTCTGCCTAAGGTGTATAACACTACAACTTTCACATGGTTCTGTCCTTACAGGTCATAAACTTATTAGAATACCCTGTAATTACAGAAAATTCCACACAGCAGTGGGAATAACCAATTGTGGCCCATTGTCTGAGTCTTGAACAACTTAAGTTACTCCTGACTTAAGAAGTTGATATGGAAAGAGTTTGGATAATAGTCACTTGCTCTCTTTAGTTCTAAACACTACAAGAAACTACATTGTTCTGTCTTTAAAGTAAGAAATATAAAATGGAAGAGAGGAAAACAGATAACTACAGCTTCTGTGAAGCTTACTGCTCATGCTTACAGGTGAATCCTTAAAATCTGTAGGGTTATTTAGTTGAGATCAGGAGAGAAAAGTGTGTTCTTTGAAACAAGTCTTTCATAAACTTGTGTCATCTAGTCATACTGATACTGCTGCTACTTTTGTTATAGCAGTGAGGCTTAATACCTGTGGGTGGCTTTTGGTTTTTCTTGTTTTGGGCTGTGTGGGGGTGTGTGGTGGGTTTTTTTGTATTTTTTTTTTTTAATTAAACAGCTTGTGGTTTGAATTATTTAAGATGGATTAATTAAAGCACATAACTAAGAGTGAAATATGTTTCAGCTTCCTGGAGAAGAACCCCTTGGAAGATTAGAGCCATTAGAAAATGCACCTTTGTTGGCATTAGTCCATAAAATGAACAATTGCCTCAGTCAAATGGAACAGTTTCCTGTCAAAGTGCATGACTTCCCTAGTGGAAATGGAACAGGGAGCAGGTAAGGATTAATGCTCAGGTAATAGTTTTGTTGGAAGCTTTTGTTTTCCCAAATGTGTTTCAATGCTAAAAGTTCCAAGAGGTAATGTGAACTTCTGACCCTATTAAAGACAAAAGCAATTATGCAGTTGGCTTTTTTAATTCAGTGGAAGATTGAATATTTAACTAAATATTTGCTTACTGTCTTGAAACTTTGATCACTTAGATTGGGGGTGGATGTGAAATTTTAAATGCAATTTCTAAATTTAAGCTTTAAAAATTCAAATGTCTTCCTTGTCTCCATGTAATAAACACTGGAAAGAAGTAGTCTATTTATTGCTGAGACACTGATACCTTTCAGTCAAGTATTTAAACTGCTGAGGGGTTGTATTCCAGTGCTAAACTTTATTTGGATAGGCTCTGTTCATTTAGAAAGATGATTAATTGATAAGTGGTGGCTGTCAACATAGTTTAAAATAACTTTAGACCTGCCCTGTGTCTTACAATAGAATAGATTTGGAATCCAACTTATTTGCATTCTATTTCTCCAATTGCTTTTCTGTACTTCTCTTGAATAAATCAGTGTATAGCAGTTAGTCTGTTTCAGTACAAGCTGCATATAAGTTTTGAAAGTATTTTATGATGCTGGCTGAAAGCTTGATTATTGAAATATTTTTGTGACTATGTAGAAACTAGGAGGGAAGGAGCATTTAAAAAAAAAGGATTTTTGAAAACTCTTTTTTAAAGTTTGGAATGCCAAAATTTTCTGTCTCTTAGGTAGTAAGATAGTGTGGATTTCTTCTCACTAATGGTAGATATATCACAGATTAATGCTATAGCATTAATCTAATGCATTAAAATACAGTACCCGTTTTCTGTGAAACTTTCAACCCATGGAAATTAAGGCAATACAGATTTGTAACACTTGAAGGAATTGTCTTGATAGTGACTTTTGCAAATAGTATGTGTTCTGTCATCTTACAACACTTCCAAATACACACTACTTCTGTAAACGGTGGGATAACTACAACAGTTATAAAGCTGCTAATCACAGAAGCAAAACTCAGGTATTCTTTTTGATAGAAAATTAAACATGGGAATTTGGACGGTGGACATTTGGACAGTCACACAGCAGTGACACAATGCTGCTCTTACTGTGGATTATGTTAGTGAGGATTTTGAGGCCTTAAGGTTTGGTAATTCTTCAGTAGCACCTGGAAGTAGAAGCAGACTAAGATAAGAGGTTTGTGTATAAAAATGGCTAGCTTGAATATTGATTGTTTGAGATGGAACATGTAGATAAACCATACTTGGCAAAGAAAAAACAGAGGAGCTTTCTGGTTGTCTCTTTAGTTCCTTATTAAAAGCTACGTGAACAGGTACTTGCATTTTCTATCCTTTCCACCCTTATTGCGTTGCAGGTAAATGCAGCTCTAAATCTCATGTGGCATCAGCTGGCCACTGGACAACATCAGATCTCAAAGATGGCCAGTATAGGCCACACTGTAATCAGCCCTCAGACTACCCTTAATCCATGTAGCTTCCACTGGAAATCAGATTTTGTCCAACTTGGTGTTCTGGTAGAATGAAATTTTTAGTCAGTTTATCCAATTCATAGTAGCTGATTTTTAGAGAAATAGACTGAGAAATAATACTCTGAATAAGTGAATTTGTAAATGCATATAAGCCTATTTTAATGCATTTTTAATGCATTATGGTTATTAGATTCTTTGTGTAGCAACTTTTTTCACAAATTATTTTGAGTTTTTCTCTTAACAGAGGATCCCAAGCTTTAAAATTCTTCAATACACATCAATTAAAATGCCAACTGCAAAGACATCCAGACTGTGCTAATGTGAAACAGTGGAAAGGTGGACCTGTGAAGATCGATCCTCTGGCTTTGGTGCAAGCCATTGAAAGATACCTTGTAGTTAGAGGTACATCTCTCTCATACAGTCACATGTGGTTTGCTCCTGGGGTAGTCACTGCTGTTAGTAGTGTAGAGTCTGAAAAACCTCTGAGGATTATACTGAAGACAAATGGGAGGCAACTATAAATGTACCTTGCTCACAGGGGAGGGAGATTAAGGCTGCAGAGAATCTTTTCTGGAACAAACTTTTTCCTGTTGTAGACAGTTCAGCCTGTATACTAACAGAAGTGTAATCTAGTTGACTATCGGATTGGCTGTAACTTGGCGTTTTTGATGCCAGATGTTGTTACTGACATTTGTTCTAATGCGTCTCAACCCTACTTTTTCTGGCTGATGTATTTTATGAACTCCAGTGTTTAAAACAATCCTAAAGGACTTCTTTTTGTAAAAGCATTATGACATTTCATGTAAAAACAAATGAGGATGTGTTTGTTCCTTTCTTGCCTCAGGCTATGGAAGAGTTAGAGAAGATGATGAGGATAGCGATGATGATGGGTCAGATGAAGAAATAGATGAATCTTTGGTAAGCTTGTGCTCTGGGCGTCAGGGGAGGGAACTGTGGGGAGAGGCTTAAAGAAAAGCTAGTGACAAGTTACCTAACGTGTGGGGGTTTTGTTCTGTTCAGGCTGCTCAATTCTTAAATTCGGGGAATGTGAGACATAGACTGCAGTTTTACATTGGAGATCACTTGCTGCCATACAACATGACTGTGTATCAAGCAGTTAGGCAGTACAGCCTGCAAGCTGAGGAGGAGAGGGAGTCTACAGATGATGAAAGCAACCCATTAGGAAGAGCTGGGATTTGGACAAAAACGCATACCATTTGGTAAGTTGGCTTAGAGTAATCAGGGGAAAAATTCTTCAGTTTCCTAGATCTATATACATAAAGAATATTGGAACATAGCTGTCTTCCCTCCTCCCCTGCTCCTCCCCACAAAACTGTGAAGCTTTGAATTTTCTGATGTGCTTGAGATCCTGGAATCTTACTAAGACTTTATTGTTAGCTACTGATGGTTTTCCTAGCTCATAAGTGAAGCTGATGAACAAGAAATGGGGAATCTTAAATGCCACCTGCTAGGGGGAGAGATCGTTCTTGCTGTTAGGTAACTAATCACAAACAATAGAGAATGTGTCTGCAGTCCACAAATAATGGGCAAGTTCATACTGCTTTTCATAGCTGATTGCTGTGCAGGTGTGCATGTTCTCTGGCCATACTTCACAAGGAGCCGTATGGACCTGTGACTGTGCCAAACATCTTAACATGCAGCAATGGTTTCTTCTTTCTAATATTAAATGTTATGCCAAAAAAAAAAAGCAAACCCCACACCAACAAACAAAAAAACCAACCAACCAAAAAAAAAACCCAACCAAACCTTTTTTGTCTATACCTTCTGTTGCTCTTCCAGTTCATGATGCTGGAGGGTCCCATTTTTTTTCCACCATGACATACTTTGCTTTCAGGGACCTAACTTATGGGCGGGATCATATCCAAATGTATTGTTCTTGTCTGTCTCCTTTTAACTGTTATTCAAGTAAAATTCTGGTAATCAAAGTACTAATGCATTTATAACTGCTTTTGTTTCCATGTAAGTTAGCATTTCACAAACATTTTTTAACTAATTACTTTTTAGGTACAAACCTGTGCGAGAGGATGAAGATGGTAATAAGGACTGTGTTGGTGGTAAAAGAGGAAGAGCACAAACTGCTCCCACAAAAACCTCCCCGAGAAATTCTAAAAAGCATGATGAGTTGTGGCATGGTGAGTGTGTTGCCTTGCTAATGTGTTAGATTTGTGAAAACTCATTAGGGAAAGGATGGGGAGAAGAGTGTTTCTATAAACACCACGGTGTTTCTTTTAAAGCAAGCATAGTATAAGAAAATGAAGCCTATATTAATGTGTGTATTAAAACTTAAGATGATACTTACTGAATTGTTTATCTAAACTGTTGTAGTTAAGTGAATGCCATGACTCTTACTACCTAGGCTCCTAATAATTAAATCTCGGAAAGACTTCTAATTGATTTGTTTGGATAACATTGGTTTTTTTCCTGTTAGATGGTGTATGCCCTTCGGTATTAAATCCTCTAGAAGTTTACCTCATATCTACTCCACCTGAAAACATAACATTTGAAGATCCCTCATTAGATGTTATTCTGCTTTTGAGAGTGTTACATGCTGTCAGTCGATACTGGTATTACTTGTATGACGTGAGTAGAGCGCTTCATAATCACTTTCATATTTGATATAGATGACTCCATCCTGAAACACTTTAAAATAGCTGCCTCTCCTTATCCTCTGCTCCCCACCAAGACACAATAATGCAAATACTGTCATCTTCCCCTACGTATTTCTCTAACTTCTGGTAAGGTGAAGGCTATAAAGTCTTAGTCAGTTAACTTCCTCTATAGTGTTAAACACATTTTCCATGCTTTTTCCTTCTTTTCAGTTCTTTTCCTGAAAAGAAAGTTAATAGTAAAAACCTAGTCAGTCTTCCTCTTATGGCTTAGACTCTGTATGACCAAAATAACAATGAAAGCTTTTTCCCTTGTGATAAGAGGGTTTTTATGCTTCTAATTTGCTTAAGTGCTTGGTCTTTCTTTAACTAGAAGTACATTGTTTTTATTTAACACAGAATGCAATCTGCAAGGAGATAATTCCAACCTCGGAATTTATCAACAGTAAACTGACAGCAAAAGCAAACAGGCAGCTTCAGGATCCTTTAGTAATTATGACAGGAAACATACCAACTTGGCTGACAGAACTTGGAAAAACATGGTATGAATGACTTACGCTGTGGTATTTCTAATAGGACTTCAGCAGGGCAGCCCAGGTGCATCACATGTTACAAGGCTTTTGAAAGGGCTGGGGAGAGTAACATGTAGCCACAGGAGCCTTGTGAAGTTCAATAGTGACACTTGGATGACTGTTACATCTCTGCCTAGTTTGAACCACATATGGAGGGGTAGGCTAGCTGCAAGTTTGGACCGCTTCTTAAAAGGAGTTTCTGACCAATTTAAAGTTTTCTCATTGAAATAATTGTACTTGATTGAGGTCATATTTTTTCTCCTGTTAAACTACTTAATGGCATTTTTGTTATATCAGTACATTTATTTTAGCATATTCAATATGGTACGAAAGAAAACATTTTTATAATTACTGATAAAATATCACAGTTTTTATAAAGCTATATGGATAATACTTGGTAGTATCTTGATACAGAGTGTAAGCTGTAAAACTGCACTTGAAAGAATGAGAAATCAGAGTTAACATTCTTAGACTTTTAATTGAAGCGACATCGGTGACCATTGACTGGAAAAATATACTGTAGAGAAACTACTTAGGTTTTTCATTTTTAAAATAAGATCTAAATTTCTTCATAAACATTCCAGATAACAAATGAGGAGTATGCATGTATAGTCTTATAGAAACATCTGTAGCAATATTTGTTCTGTAAAACTGCTTTTTTTAAATGTCAGTGGAGGACTACACTGTTAACATACACATGCCTTTGAGAATGGTAGAATTGATTAAATAATCTGTGAAAGACTACTAGAGAAACTTCTTATTTTAAGTGTCTTTTGAAAATGGTGGAAGGTACAATGCTAGTGCTGCTGCAGGCAGATGTGTCCTGTCCCTGTCTTGTAGTCTTGTCGTTGTCCCGTCCCCCCATCTACCCCTCACCCTTGCCCAGTATGGGAGTTTGAGCCACTTTCTTAAAAATCTAAGTTGCATTTAGTAATTGTAAAACAGGTGTGCACAAGGAAAATATAATTTTCTGATGGAAACTTTGCATAGCCAAGGCATCCAAGTATTTAGAGTAATTTTTCTGGAAGAGTTAGAAGCTTCTGGAATTATTTGTGGTTCTCTCTCTAGACTCTCGCTCTCATAAGCACCGTAACTAAAACACTAATTTTGGGTATACTACACTTCTATTATGTTTTAAATTAAACTGTGGTCATAGATGCTAGTTGGAACCCAGCTGACTAATCCAATGCTCTTTACAGCCCATTTTTCTTTCCATTTGATACTCGTCAAATGCTGTTTTATGTAACTGCCTTTGATCGTGATCGAGCCATGCAAAGACTACTGGATACTAATCCAGAAATCAACCAGTCAGATTCTCAGGATAGCAGAGTGGCACCGCGACTGGACAGGAAAAAAGTAGGTATATCGTGTTTAAAAATTGAATGAACGATCTGTTTATTTTCATTTTGTCTCTAAGAATATCACTGTAAGCAAGACTTCGGGCTTCCATAGCAGATGGATGAAGGGGAGGCTGGGGAGGCTTGTTTTTGTTCAAGAGCCCTGAGTTGAAAGCGCAGTGTCTTCTAGGTGGCTGCCACGAGGTGGCGGAAGGGACTAGAGTAAGCTACACTGGTTCCTTTTGGGATTGGAGTCCTTACATAATTTTTGAAACTATACTCCAAGAATGAACCTTAAGTTTTAGGTTACATCAGTGATATTTGCATATATTAGCTTGTAAAGCTCTATTTTGGTTTGTGAAATACTTCAGAATAATTCAAGCAATAGCATTTAGACCCTGAAGTGTTACCTGAATAAATGAAAACATTGTCCTTGTGTTCTGGGAGAGTATTAAACCTCCTGTCACAACACGATAAAACTCAGCTGTGACTGTTTTAAATTTGTCTTGGGTGACTGCCTTGACTCTGGAGAGATGGTATATTAACCTACAATATGCTGTAGAGTGTGGAACTTGAGTACCTCTGGGGAAAAAAGACAGACAGACTCCAGTTCAACTAGAATACAGCTTCTAACATGGAAGAACACCAGTGCTGTTCTGGGGTGGGGTGGGGGGAGTTGTTGATTGTCTTTTGGGTGTGGTGGTTTGGGGGTTTTTTTGGTTTTTTTTTTTTTCTAAGCATGCTACTTGCCCTAGTAGGGAATCTGCAGGGTCAGGGTATAAGATTATTCCTTTAGGCTGCTGGATTTTGGCATCTTTATTCTGTTTTCTTCTCCATGCATTAGTTTGAGGTATGTAACGTCACATGACAACACCTCTCTGTGATGTTATAGTCTTAGTGCTAGGTTCTTGGCAAGAGTTAGTACCTGTTAGCTATTCTGATACGTATGTAAGGCATTGGTTTTTCATTTTATATCAAACACTCGAATTCCAGTCAATTTTCATACAGAAGCAAGAATTATTTTATCGAAGTATAACCTTTATAAATTGTTGAACTGTGGAACTATTAGCATGGGGTGGAAAAACTTGCATAACTAATATTTTTCCTGTTGTAACTGCCTTGGGAGCTGGAACTTACAGACATAAATTCACTACTTAAAACTTCTCTAATGTACAGCGCACTGTGAACAGAGATGAGCTGCTGAAACAGGCAGAATCTGTGATGCAGGATCTAGGCAGTTCAAGAGCCATGTTGGAAATCCAGTATGAGAATGAAGTAAGTAATATCAACGTAGTCTAACTTAACCCCTTTTTACTGAAGATTAATACAAAAAAAGCACTACAACTTTCATAGAATGACTTGGTTAGACTCTTGGTCCTTCCCATTGCTGGTGTCACAAGATTTTATCTGTTAATTATCCCTAATCCACTTGATTGATTTTTAGTTCCTAGGAGAAACTTTCTGATCTATTAAGTTTCATAATCAGTCTTACTCTGCAGAGCATGTTTTTTTCTAACTCTAAGCAAACAGCTGTGTTCTTATGATCACTGGGTAAATACATTTATGATACTATTATCCCCTCTCATGTATTTTCTCCGAGCTGTCTCAGTCACATTGTAAATGTTGGCATAGTTAGGCGCTCTAGGTGCTTTTTGCAATGCAATCATCTTTATAGCCAATAATGTCCTGTATTTCTCAGACTAAGTAAAGATTTTGATACTCAGACAGACCTAATGGACTTATTTATTTCTCATTTCCTCTCTTCTCTCTGCACCTTCCCTCCTCCTGAAGGTTGGCACAGGCCTAGGGCCCACGCTAGAGTTCTATGCACTTGTATCTCAGGAACTACAGAGAGCAGACTTAGGCCTTTGGAGGGGAGAAGAAGTGACTTTAGCCAATCCAAAAGGTAAGTGTTTTACTGCCTAAACTATCAGTATTGATCTAATACTAAGTTGATTTTAAGTTGACTTTAATTACATGAATGGCTTTGATTGAAAAAGCACCTCAGTTTGTGGTCAGATAATATGTCACAGGATAGCATGTGTGATTATGTTTGGGTTTTTCATAAGAAGCTTTAGGTTATGGATATCTGGTAGCCACTTACAGACTTGTCTGGAATGAAACTAGTGGTGTTTGCATTCAACTTTTTTCTTTTTTTCTCCTCTCCTTCCCTCTTTCTTCCTCAACAGGAAGCCAGGAAGGTACCAAGTACATCCATAACCTTCAAGGCCTTTTTGCACTTCCCTTTGGTAGAACAGCCAAGCCAGCTCACATTGCAAAAGTTAAAATGAAGTTCCGCTTTCTGGGAAAACTAATGGCCAAGGCAATCATGGATTTTAGACTGGTGAGGATAAAATGGAAAATGGGGTTCTGAAGGCTTAAATGAAAACTCTAGGTCTGACTGTGTTGGAGGAAAAATAGCATTAAGAGTTGCATGGAATGGTTTTCAGCTCTAGCAGCTTGGGGGCAGGGTGGTGGTGGGAGATGCAGTTGGGCTTTTGAGGGGGAAAGGGTAGTGTATGTTGCAGGTGTTTACAGTGGCTGTGAGACTGTAGTGAAAAAAGGAAAAGCCATTGCCTACCATGTGTTGCAGTCACCTTTCAAGATCACTTTGGGACGACTATTCCAGCTGGGAGCTTGTTGATTGTTCTAATGTGTAGGCTCTAGACAGTCAGTTGTGTTTCTCAACTGAATTTCTCTGGTAAAAACGCCCAGAAATGGTGGTTCAGTGTGTGCCAGAACTATGGATTAATAATCCATAATAGTAAATGGTATTCTAGATCTAGTCAAGAGATAACTAGCAGAAGGTATCGTTTTGGAAGACAACTCAGTGCTAAACAAAATTTGGATTTCCAGGTGGATCTTCCTCTCGGACTTCCTTTTTATAAATGGATGTTGCGACAGGAAACTTCGTTGACGTTGCATGACTTATTCAGTATTGATCCAGTAGTAGCCAAATCAATATATCACCTTGAAGATCTTGTAAGACAAAAGAAAAGACTTGAACAGGACAAAACACAGGTGAGAAATTAACTCTAAGCATGGAGGAGTCCATCTTCACGCATGTTTGGATTTTATGGATTTTAGCCATAATTGAGAGTGTATGATAGTGCTTAACACTGGTAATAGTGATAATGACTTCATTCTAATAAAACTATTAAATGACTAGTAATTATAAGAGTCGCTGTACTGTACACTCTAATGTTAGAAACTTGTTATGGGCTGCTTCTGTGTGATTAAACCCAGGCTAGAAATGGCTGAAACTGCCACATGTTTGCCTAACAACTTCTCTTTTTGGGTTAGTCTTTTCAAAGTGAAAAATTTCAATATCTGGGGGAGTGTGGGGTGTGAAATCTCTCCTTGATTTTTTGAACATTCAGAAGGCTTGGCTGTTTTTATTAGTTGGTCTAGTAAAATCTTTAGGCTTTGTAAGGAGTGTCTTTTGTAGAGTGGGGTTTTTTTCCTTCCCTCTCTGAAAGCTGTATGCAGAAGTGGTGTAAACTGTCCTCTCATGTGAGCATACAGGTTCTTTTATAGATACAGAAAAGTCTTAATTTTCAAGGTTATCTGCTCTTGGCTAAAAATAGTAGCATTCACTGTTGCAAAAGGTCTTTTGGCATGCATGCTCCTAGCATCCAATGTTAGTAGATGGCAGGTGGTAATAACCTAACTTTTACTACATCTGCTTTGTTACTAGTGAAGTTACTGCAAGCTTGTGGGCCTTTGTTCCTCTTCACCTCCCTGCCTCACTCTCTCTCCTTTGTTACTGCTTTTAATTTCCCAACAAGAATTTGAAAAACCTGAAACCTGCTGGATGAAAGCTGAAAAATGTCAGTATGAATGCCATTAATTATTTGAAGGAAAAAACATAGCCTAAGAGCATTAGCATATTACACATCATCTGCTCTGGCAATAGTTTTTTCTAAATAAATAACATGCAAGAAGTTAAAGTAATTCCAAAATTGCTAGAAAAATGTTCTTCTGTGATCTCTCATGGTTATCCATTATAGTTTATTTTGCTTGGTTTACTGTTACGTGTGGAAAAAGAGAAGGAAAGCAAGGAATACAGTAGTAGTATTAATAGTAATTTTATAGAAATGTTTACTTAGTCAAAGCTGCTTTTGAAGTCATAACTTTGGGATAAGGTAATGCGAATGAATTGTTCTCACTGGTTTTCACTTCTGATTTTTCAGACCAAAGAAAGTCTACAGTATGCATTGGAGGCTCTGACTATGAATGGCTGCTCAGTGGAAGATCTGGGGCTGGACTTCACACTTCCTGGGTTTCCTAATATAGAACTGAAAAAAGGGGGAAAAGATACACCAGTCACCATCCACAACTTAGAGGAGTATCTCAGAGTACGTACAAGCAAAGCTAGAACTAAAACTTTCTTTGTTCTTCCTCACCTTGCTCCCAGATAGTTTGTTTCCATATATGTTTCAGTTCATTCTTGTGAACTGGGCACAGCAGTAACTTTTCTAATAATTGCTTCTGTTCTGTGTAGTTTATTACAGAAAAACTGTTTGAATCCTAATCAGCACACCTGAGTTAAATTTTATAGTACAAAACAGGTTTATACATAATGAAGTTGTCAGAAGTATGGCTTTTGGGATAAATGGTGTTGTAGTAAGTGGAGTAATCTGAGCTGTGGAATTTCAGAATCTTTTAACACACTCCCACATTGAGTATGTTAATTAGTTTGCTGTAGTGATTTATCACCCACACTTCAGTGCGCTTTGAACTCCTGTAATAATAATGAATTTTTTTGGAGTAAATATAACTTTGGAGTAAATATATTTCTTAATAACTTAAGAAAATATCAGTGGCGAGTCAAAACCCCTAAAAAAACACAAACAAAACCCTAAACTATTAAAGTAAGGAACAGAATGAAATGGTGCTATAAGTTGACAGTACCCTCATATTGATTTATTCCTATGTCAGAAGATACATAAAACCTAGGAAAACAAAAGGGTGATACTGCTGAACAAAGATAGGAAACTCTTCTGCTTAAGAAGTGTTAAAGGGGACTAGGTTAGAAACAGCCTGGAAAAGAGATGAGGAAAGGAAGGAAGAATGCAATATTATGACATGAAGTTATGAGTGGGCTGGAGGTAAGAATGATTGATGGCATCATGAAAAAGAAACATCATGAAAAAGATGACATCAAGAAAAAGGAACATTATTCCTGTTCCTAAATAATGCATTTTTGGGCAGGGTAGTCTGCCAGTTTCACTGGGAGGACTGCTAAAATTTTCAAGCACTGATAAGAAACATACCTGATGTTTTGGTAGAAACAACTCAGTAAGGGATATACAAGTTCCTGGATATCAACTGAGAACTTTGCAAAGTTACTCTGCAATTCTTACAGGTGGACACTGAGCAGTGGCTGTTCATCTTCCAGATTCAAGCTGTTATGCACATACCCAGTTCTTATATCTTTATTTGTTGAAAGCAAATTCTGTGGCACAAGAATCTCTGAAAATTAAACATATTTGGACATAAAGCTGTTTGCAGACTTACAGATGGGCAATACCAACAACCACAGCTTGTTAGAAACAACATTTGCAGTCTCTGTTTACAGAGAAAAGCTGAGCAAGGTTGCTTTCAGGTCTGACTGTTCTACAGTTTGCAGTCAGTTTGGTTTTGGGTTTGTGGGTTTTATTTCCCCCCCCCCCCCCCTCTTCTGGGTATCCTATGTCAGGTATCTGATATTCTGGGAAAGGCTTGCAGACATCTCTGCTGTCCTGTAGTTGTCCTGTTTGCAGGCATTGTAAAGGAAAAGCAGATAACTATGGAAAGCTTGTTTTCTGCTTCTTTCTAAACAACTTTTCAGACTAGAAGTGATGTCTGGGACTAATCTCTTTAAAGGATACCTGTACAATTTTTCTGTCTGTGTCTTTATGTTCCTGCCTTATAGAGAGGACTTTAAACAAGGTCCCAGTGATTAGCATTACAGAGTTGATGTTAAGGAAATGAAAAAGACTTCAGAGAGAAAATACGTGTCCTCTATCACAAATATGATGAATTGCAGCTTAGAAACGGTATACTTCATTTATCAGCTAGCTTGTACAGCTCCCTGTGGGTCGGCTGCCCTGCTCTTGAAAATGTCATTTTCATTAAAACCTTGTGTGTGGATTACCATTAAAAGTAGTTTATAAAGCTAGAATATCCTACTGTTAATCCTTGTGCTGTTCTGCAGTCATGTCATTCCACCCTACACCTCCCTTTTTCTTTTTTTTTTGACCCTAAGAATGGTTCCAACAAGAGCTGTCTTTAACAGAAAGAATTATTTCAGCTCTTAGTGTACTGAAAGGCTTTCTTCCCTTTTTTCCCCTCTCCTCTTCTCCCCTGTACCGTGAAGAAAGAGGCCAACTTGTTTTTCTAGGCTTGTGGACAGCTACAGTGAGCATATGGTTAGGCTTCTGTAGAGTTTTTTCTGGCAGCTGTAGTCTTTGTGCAGTAGTGATCATTGCATGCTGCTTTTGCTCAAATGACTTTATCTCTTTTTTTTTTTTCCCCTCTCTTCCCTGCAGTTGGTGATATTCTGGGCACTAAATGAAGGTGTTGCCAGACAGTTTGACTCGTTCCGAGATGGATTTGAATCAGTCTTCCCCCTCAGTCATCTTCAGTACTTCTATCCCGAGGAGGTTGGTCAACCTGTTTCTACTGACGCTTGTATACTGATACTTTCACATACGTGTCCGTGTGGACAGTCTGAAGCTGGGAGCGCGCGGATGCGGTGCAGCCTGGCAGTCTGACATTTCTGATGTGCATTAGTAGAACTTGGTGTCCTTTAAATTGCATACTTAAATTTCTACATTTGCTGCTCGCTTATTTGATGCTTTAATTATGAACAGCCCCATTTACCTTAAAATTGAGTGTATGCAGCTTTTCTGACAAAAATGCTTCAGTTTATATATGCAGGCTCTCTGTTGGTATGGATACTATAATTTATTGCAGTACCTCTTCATAGCTGTAGATGTGGATGCTGCCTGGATGTTCTGTTAAAAGAGTCACATCTTCAACAAAGTTTTAGACAGTAAAAGGAGTTCCAGATGCAGGAGGGAAGAACAAGTGTTGTTGGTCTTGCCTTGTTCTCACCACCTACCAGATCAATTTCCTTGTAAAATTCTTTGTGTCTTTAAATGGCCTGAACTGAGACACAATTATGGTTGTCTGGAGTGGAGGAGAGAACGTTTTATTATGCTGCCTTTAGGGAGTTTATTTGAAGACTGTACTTTGAAGGGTTTGTTTACCTTCATAAACTTACACCTTTGACTTCGTGAAGAAGTCCTACGGATGCTGTGAAGCAGTGTTAGCCATGCCTTTGTGTTAATCCTTTGTTCTTGGTGCTTTGCAATGTAAGAGTCTGGTAAGGCTGAGATCCCTAAGTGCTCACAGTGATTCTTCACCCCTCTCTTGGTACTACTTGCAAAGTGTACCAGCATCTTTCTGCAACAAATTTAAGGCTAGTAAAAATGGCAGATTGTTCTATTTTCTCCAGTGTTTTACCCAAACTTTTCTGTTTTGTTGTACATGTGATGCTGTTCTTCTGTCTTGTCATTTGGCATGGTTTAAGACTTGCTTCTGCTTGGAAATTTTAAAACATAGGCAGTAGTGCATTGCTCGCCTACTGACAGGGTTGGCCAAAATTAAGCCATAGGAATAGTGTGAGATAGGAGATATCCTTTCCTTAATAGGATATGCATGTGTGACCTCATGTGCTCTTGCTGCTGGCTGTCCAGCCATTTCAACCTTTTTATAAACCATTCCTAAACTGTTACAAAGAACTTGTAAAAATTCTTTTGTTCATGAACAGAACAGCTAGGTGTGTCAAACCTCTGGTTTTGAGTTTGAGGCTTTACAAGTCCTTGTGTATCCTGGCAGGATGTCTGTGAGAGCTTTTAATGTTTTGTCTGTAGCCTGTCATCTCTGCTTGCCCAAGTGCACAGAAAGAATAGGCAAAATAATATAAGTACAAAACTGCTATCTGACAGATCCATTTCTCTATAATGATTGATTTTTTTTTTTCTTTCAAAGAAGAGCTCAGAGCTCTAAAAAGCAAGTGTAAAGACTCTGTTCTTCCCATTCCCCAAGATGTCGCTAAAACTTGTGATATTTCCAAACAATTAAAGCATTTTTGGTTCTCCAGTGTAAATTGCTTATTTGGACGGTCTGTGTTCCAAGAGATACATTCAGCATCTCGGGTGGCAGTGGGTTGTATGCAGAGGTAGGTTCAGCGAGCGAGGCTGTCGCTGCCATGAAGCTATTGCATACAAAGAACTGGGGAGGATTGCCTGGGCTGACTGAAGTTGTGTTGCAGTAGGCCATTCCTGAGAGTCAGTAGGATGCTGTAATAGCAGTCAGTTCTACCTCAAGTTCTAAAGGGAAGAGTTTCTGTCCTTATTTTTTGAATTTTATAGTTGGAGCAGCTTTTGTGCGGCAGTAAGACGGACACTTGGGATGCCAAGACCTTAATGGAATGTTGCAGGCCAGATCACGGTTACACACATGACAGGTAACGTGGGGTTGGTCTTAGGGTGTGTGTTTTTTTAGTGGTGGGTTTTTTTTTTAGAAGGGCACTAGAAAGTTACGCATTTAAATAATCTTGCTATACTGTTATTCAAGTTAAAAGAATTATATGAAATTTGTTGGAAACTACTCATACTGCACTGAGTATGAATCTGATGCAATGATTTTTGACTATAAACAAAATAATAACTTGCTTTTTTCCCTCCTTAGCCGAGCAGTGAAGTATCTCTTTGAAATTCTCAGTAGCTTTGATAGTGAGCAGCAAAGACTGTTCCTTCAGTTTGTGACAGGAAGCCCCAGACTGCCTGTAGGAGGTAGGTTGCATTATATATTGCTGTATATGAAACCAGTATTAATGCATTTCAGAGCGAGTGGATAATTTCAGTACAAGAAAAAAATTACTTGCCTGTGTATTTTAGGGATTCCTTCTTGTTTGACCTTTCTAATTTCAGAAGTAGCAGGGTCAAATTCTCAAACTCTGTGTTGATCTCATGACAAGCCATTAAATTGACTCCAGGTTTAACTTATGTTACCACATAATCTACTGGAGAACAAAAAGTAGTTCAAAACTTGAAACAACATTGAAAACCTCTAATAGTGTTCCTTGGCTAGAGGTACACTAAGTTTTGACAACTAAAGGGTGTGTTGCTACCTGGAAACAATAATCTCTTTGTTTGCAAAGGAGACAATACCAGCATAGCTATAAATTTTAATTTCTCTCCCTTTTGAATTCAGAATTTAGATGAACTGCAATGAGGAAAACTGAGGAATTTGCTGTCTTTGCTAGGGACTGTTATAGAATTCACATTTTAATCACAGAACGGTTTGGGCTGGAAAAGGGACCTTAAAGACCATCCAGTTCCAACCCCCCTGCCATGGGCAGGGACACCTTCCACTAGACCAGGTTGCTCCAAGCCTCATCCAGCCTGGCCTTGGACACTCCCAGGGATGGGGCATCCACAGCTTCTCTGGGTAACCTGTTCCAGTGCTTCACCACCCTCTCCGGGAAGAATTTCTTCCTGATATCTAATCTAAACCTCCCCACTTTCAATTTAAACCCGTTACCCCTTGTCCTGTCACTACAGGCCCTAGTAAAAAGTCCCCCCCAGCTTTCTTGTAGGCCCCCTTCACCTTCCAGTACCTGCTGGAAGGTCTCCCCAGAGCCTTCTCCTCTTTTCCACTATTTTTTGGGGTTTGGGGTGGTTTTCTACAGAAAACTAATCTGCAGAAAGGATTTTAGGTGCTTTTTAGCTTGCTACATGACCTTATTAAGCCATATTCCAAACTTAACTGAGATTGAGGAGTGAGATGCATGCTTCTGTCACTGTTGGATGTCTGTAGTGCTACCTGTGAGTTTAAGAGGAACAGCCCTATTCTGATTGTCTTTTCTCATTAATAGGCTTTCGAAGTTTGAATCCTCCACTGACAATTGTACGCAAGACTTTTGAGTCTACAGAGAATCCAGATGATTTCTTGCCCTCAGTAATGACGTGTGTGAACTATCTCAAATTACCGGACTATTCAACTATTGAGATAATGCGTGAAAAACTCTTGATAGCTGCAAGAGAAGGGCAGCAGTCATTCCATCTTTCCTGATCACAATGAAAAATGCAATGTCTGCCTGTTACAGCAAAAGAGAAACTCATGATTTTTTTCTAAATAAGTCATCTGAGTCAAGGAAACGTGTTACGCCGCCTTGTTGTAGAAAAACGGCTTGCAGATTATAAACAAAGACACTTGGTTGATATTCATTAAAGGCCCCTATGGACTGAAAGTGATCAGGCCCTAAAAGTTGTTGTGACAAGGTTTCTTTAGCAAGTTCTTGTTTAAATTATCATTTATTTGATGAGTGAAGTTTTTAACTTGCTTTGCTGTGTGAAATTTAAAAAGGGATGTTTTTCCAGGCTGGAACAATAAATGTCGCTGTGCAGTTTAATACTGGGCTGTGTGTATCCATCTAGCTAAGTCTGAAGTTTTTCCTCCAAAGACAACTTTTGTACATAAGTACAGAAATTAAAATACACCATGTATTTGATGAATCTAGTTTAGTAGACTAGTTCTGTGTACCCTCACCTGCCTCTCATTTTACCCATCCTCATGTATTGTCTGACGTGCAATTCACTTGGTTCTTTTTGTGTGCAACTTTCAACAATTGTTATGTTTTGGTTAGGGTGGGCATTTAACTGCTCCATGCCTCTTTCTCTGATTAAGATAATTTAAATTTTACTGAAATCAAATATATATTGTCAATATAATTCAGCCTTTGTAACAAGGTAGAACCTTTCTTATAGCATAGTTTTACTGTAGTGTTAGGATATAATGGCAACAGCCTTTACCAGTCGATGCTCTAGAGCTGTTCACACAGTGATTCAGGCAGCAAAGGCCTCTTACTAGAGGCTGGGAAGAATTTTCTTACATGTAGTTCAAGTCCAACAGCTTGGGCTGGCCAGTGTGTATTGTGGTAAGGCCAGAGCATTTCGAATTGATGTAAAGTTTTTTAAAAGGCAAAATAGTTGTTTCATTCCCGGTTTGAGTAAACAGTTTTCTTGTTATTAATCTAAGTTCCTGGTTACTTTTGTAGTTGTTCTTTTTTTTTTTTTTCCCCCCCCTCCCCAGCGCTAGCTTGGAACAAACAGTTCAGCCTTTGTCTTTTGACACAGATAAAGCACCTGTAAGCAATGCTCTGTCCAACTGTTTTATGTGCTGATTTCTCAAATCTGCAATAATTTACTTCATCAGGTTAATGTTTTTACCTGAATATAAATAAAAAAGTTTGCTTCACCTTTTTGTTCATAGTTTTGTACTGTATGCATAAAGTTCAAATGTGTAAATTACTGTAATGCAAGTAAATCATCCTAAAATCTACATGGCTAACAGCCTGCAACTTGTGGATGACTTACTACTAAAACAAGACCTTTTTAAGACCTCCAACTCAGAGGGAAATTTTTTCTTTCTATGGGTTCAAAAAAAACGGGCAATTACAAATATTCCTGAGATGTACCTGCTATATAGTTCATCTCTATGGAAACGTGATAGTTACTTACTTTTATTCAACTTTGAGAAATCAAAATTCATTTCAGTGCTTAGAAATTGTTACATTTTGGCTAATCAGGCTAGTATTTCCCCTAAACTAACGATAACGTTTTCTTTTATCTAGCTGAAGAACTTGTACTTCCAGAATATGTATTTCAGTACATGTGATGGACATTCTTCCAGTGAACAGTCACAGAATTACATGTGGTTGCTCATACCAGTGCCACTGAAATGTAATGCAAATCTGTCATGAGCATGAGCAGAATGTGAAACCCTTGCACAAAGAACCTGATAACTGACCAGTTTCTACTACCGTATTAAAACTGAAAGAAGGCGCTTCACACTGTACGTATAACAATGGTAGTGCACAGTGCGGCATAGTTTTCATAAAACTTCAAGACAGTGTTTAAACTATGGACTGGTGTTTAAATTGTTCTGGTAACCTGATCAAACTGAGCACAAAAAAAGTGTTTATAGTGTGTGGATAGCAATTTGTTCATTTTCTAAGGTTCTATATTTTAAAAAACTGACTTGTGTAAAAAAAAAAAGCTAATATTTTGTATTAAAATATCATGTGTATTGATATTTTTTTACCCATGTTGTCTCCCTCTAGAATCTGGCTTTCATCGACTTTGAAATTTTGAGGAGTTTTCAGAGTTGACATACAGCCATTGTGTAACTGTTTCAGCGAGAAAATAAGTTGTTGGTTGCCTGTTTAAAAAGGGAGGAAAAAACCAGGTACCTGTGGTGACAATTGTATATTTTTTTTTGTTGCTGTTGTGCTGAATGTCACTTTCAGCACAGGTCAAGGATGCAGTTGGCCCGAAAAGTGAGTGAAACCCTTTTGGGTGATGCTTTTTTTTCTTTTTTTCCTACCAAGGGCAGCTTTTAGTGTATTAGAAGAGCAGTCTGGCTTAAAAGGTAAAGATACCAAGTTATAAGAACAACTTCAAGAGTCAGGGGTTGCATGACTGCAGTACCTGCCTACAAACAGAGCTGTAGTGTCCAAGAGTAGTTGAGAATAAGTGGAGGGGTGGGGCGAGACCTTAGGTATTCCTCCTCTTCAGGAAGTTTGGATGGAGGGAAAACCTCACTAAAAGCCATTGCTGGTGTGAGCAGATGCCGGTTGAGGACTCCCCAGCCCGCAGGAGGACGTATAGTCTTGGTACTGCACCGGTTTGGTGTACTGTCACAAGGTGTAATAAGAGGTACAATAGGAAATGTCTCTTTTTGGAAAGAGAATTTTTTTTCACATGGTAAATTCAACTGGTTTTAGAGAACACCAGCCATCAGTTACTATTTCAGAGGAGTTTCTTGTCCTAAATTACCCAGAGCAGCAAAAATTCATTTGTGGAGAGAAATGCCATCGAAACCCTGACAGCTGCTGCTGAACTCGTGCAGTGATTGTGTTCGGTTAGGCGTTTGCTTTATACAGCAATCTTTTCTGTAGGGAACATGGAAGTAGTACATCTGACAGGAATTAGTAAATTGCGCTGCAGCCTTTTGTGGGTTGGTGTTTCCCCCCCCCTCCCTCCTGTCTCTTTTCTGTTGCTGGGCAGCTGGGTGCTGAAGGGCTGATGGGATTCCAGGCGCCTGCATCCCTTCTGCCCTCTTCTCTGGCCAGTGCTGGGGGTGGGTCTGTGGGCTGTAGAGCTGCGGGGCCCTGTCCCACCTGTTCTCAGCAACTGTGTTCAAACAAGTAATGTTTTTACCAGTTCCCATCACCTGAGAAGCCTGTACTGCTGCGGAGGGCTCCGAGGGGAACGAGAGCCTACCTGCCCTCAGGAATGATGCCTGGTTTTTGACGTGAACATGCCTCCCCCGTGTCAGAATGCTTTTCTGCAGCTAAAGCTGTTGGCAGAATGGGGAAAAATCAAAAGCTTTGAGATGGATTACAACAAAAAGTTTGGAAGGGGTGGGGAAATGTTACTGTAAGTTGAGGCTTTTCAAGGCTATCTCTGTCTCGTCCCCCTGCTTCGCTTGCCTAGTCTCTTCACAGCTTGGAGAACCTCTGTGCCGTGTGCTCTTTCTGTGGTCTTGCCGGGATGTCAGAGCTGCGTGCTCTCAACTCGCCGCATCTCTCCCAGCGCGCCGTGTTTTAATAGCTGTTTCTGGGGTGAGTGTAGGGGGTTGCCCCAAGACAGCAGTAGTCACCCCACCCAGTGCCCTCAGCCTAAGCCGCACAGGCACGCGTACTTCACGGAGCAGCAGCGCGTGTTTACGCAGCAGATGGGAAATGTTCCGTAGTGCTACTGCCTGCGGCTGACAGCGAGTAGCTCGAGGAGTGACGGCCTCAGCGCTCTGGGGAGAAACGCCTGCAGAGGAATGCTCTCTCTGCTGGTACTGACCGTGCGCGTAGTGAGCAGAGGTCAAGCTGCTCTGCGGGGGAGGAAGAACAGGTCTGGGCTTTCTTCCTTTGCTGTGTTCAGCTGGAGAGTCAGTCGTGAAACCTTCAACTGTGAACAGGAGAACTAAGTGGAGGGGAAATGGTCAAGGCACTAGATCAAGTTTCCTGATTGCTACCAAACTTGATGTAGAGCTACTTCTGCAAACCTGGTTCAAAGAGGAGAAAGACGACAAAACAACAGAACACACCCTAAAAGGAGTAATGGGAGAGATGAAAGCGCATTCTGTCTCTCTCTGCCTGCTCCCCAGATAAGGGTGGGGGTAGAATTCCCAACTCCTGTGACATCTTCCTGTAGTTTTAAGGAAGAAACTGTCCAGTTCAAGCTGTAAGCAGCATGTGTTAAAGCATCGAGTGTTGGTTTTGGCAGGGGGTGGTGGCTTGGTCCCGTTTGTCTCTGTCCCCCACCCTTTTAGTATCAGGCTGTGGCTGTCGCTGAGATCCCACGAGAGACAGAGGTAGATAAGCCTGGGGGGAGATGTGAGACAGCAGCCACCCCCCCCTGCTGTCTGAGAACAGGAAGAGGTGGAAGGAGGAGGTTTCCCTTTGTAAAGGTAAGCTTCAACACAATATACTCCTATATACTGAAAACCAAGGCAGGTTGATGCTGTGGAGATACTTAAAAATACTGCAGCTCCTCATCTCAACAGCTATTTCCTGAACTACTCCTCACATGCACAGTGGGAGATGGGTAGAGGAAAGATGGTGAGCTGGCTGTGGAGCACTCCTGGCTGCTCCCTGCTTTAACCCTCTGGATGGTGGGGTCCTGCAGAAAGGGAAAATAGGGGTTTTTAGACTTTCACCCTAGTACGGAGAACTACAAAAATAAGCATCAGAATTTGGTAAATAGCTACTCAACAGCATTTTTTGTAGTCTTTCTCTTGAGCTAGTCATCATGGACTTCAGCTTCATTGCTTTGTCTGTCCTCCCACTCTTCGGTTCCTCCCGTGGCCTCTTGTGCCGGTTTCATATGGTGGAAGAGGAAAAGTACTGACAGCATTCAGTGTAATTGTTTCTGATAGAATCAGGGTATGTTTCATGGATCTTTGGTAAAGCCTGTGCTTTCAGGGAAGCCAGCGACCTTAACTGATGCTTTGTGGTGTTAGTGGAATGGGTCATAGGAGTGAAAACAGAATTTAGTTAAGTATCGCCTGCTTTAGGAGACCTCTGATAGGAAAGAGAATGTTAAGGGCAGACGTCATCTATGTGGCTTTACTCCTTAGCCTAGAATACCTTGACTAGCAGCTAAACGTGGGCCTAGTCGGACTGCAGCTCTCCTCTTCTTGTATGCAGAAGGCTCTGGCAGGCAGGCGATGCCAGCAGTGACCCAGAAATAGCTGCTCCATCATTTCCCAGCCTCCTCTTCCAACCTTTTTTTCACAGTTTACTTCTGTGTATTGAAACTGTCAAGACGTTGGCTAAAAATGAAAACTTCCTACCTGATTATTTCTTTCCTGAAGCTAGTGTTTCCCACAGGCCTGTTACCTGGGCTGCAAGCC